GGAAACGTGAAACTTTTTGTGCTGTATAAGTGAACATTGCATGCTACAAATTTTTCCATAAAAATGAAATCAAATTCGAATTTAAAAGTATTATTTGAAGAGCAATCTTTAATTCATTTGAAGTGAATTTTTAGACTTTGAAAACGAAAAAGAACACGCAAATACGCTCACTCATCATACTTTTGTGATACAATGCATTATAAAATGATAAAATATAAAGTGGCAAATTTTAGATTTTTGAGTTGGCACTTTCAATTATTTTTGCTTAAAAAGGGATGAAATATCAAATTTCTTGCTAATAAATTCTTTTAGACATAAATGTATTTCCGATCTCACTTTAACGCTTGTTACTTTAGTTCACGTCAACAAAACATGTTGAACACGTACTACTTCACTGTAGTTATATTGCACGTTAAAAAAAAAAGAAAAATTCTCTAAAAAAAATCATAAAGTTATAAATTTTCAAATAAAAAAAAACCAAAGCAAAATTAATAACCGCTTTCAATTAAGTATTTCACTTAATAATTTAATACAATTTTTATATATTAAATATATTATAGAGCAAACTTTTCTTTGTCATTTTAACGTTAAATAATTGCTTGCAATTCTTTTGCATATATGTTGTTGGAAGATCGCATAAATTTCCATATTTAGATAAGTTTGCAATTGAAATAGACTGAAGTTGAAAAATGCGCTGCTTTGGTTATTTTTTATATTTAAAAAAAAAATAATTCTTGACATCTCTTGGGAAGCCTTTTTTCAATTTTCTTGCTTTTTATTTTGAATATTTTTGTGCTCTCACATCACATTTTATACTTTACCACGTCAAATCTTTGACGTTAAAATACTCTAATTAGTTATCAATATTACTGTATTTTTATAAAATTTATAACAATATTGATAGTTACAGAAAATGAACGCGTAAAGTATCATCGAGAGCACTTTTTATAAGTAAAATTTTAGCATCAAAATAATCTCGCTAAAAACAAACATTCAAACATTAGGGCAGCAATAAGAAAAATTCGAAATAAAAAGTCTTATGTCAGTTATTAAAAGTTTATATTATTTTTCTCGTTTTTTCTTCTTTCTAAGCTATATTTTTGCTTGATTAAAAATAGTTTTATTTCTCAATTTACAATTTTGATAAATTTCAGGATTCAAGCATTAATTATTAGCTTTAGGAGATAAAAGTTTTTGAATTATAATCTTTTGGTTAAGTTTTTATGGAAATGAAAATGGTTTGATTTAGAATGTGATTACTTGTGAGCATTATCCATGTAAATGGATAAGTGTAATGTATATACATGCACATTATTATATTTTTCAAAATCATTATTACAAACAGAAATAAAATAAATAAAAGTGAAAGTTAACATTTTTAACACTGCTTGTCAGTCTAATTTTAAAAATCTTCAAAACTTTACATTATTAAAAAAATTATAAAATTATAAATTTATTGTGTGCTACAGTTCAACACATTTGGTGCATTTATGTTTTAGCAACAAAAATTTAATTCACGAAAATGTATAAAAATTGCAGTTAACTTTTCACAATCATATTCATATTCATATTCATCGTTTTTTTCTGAGTGCTATACAAATATTTAAAGAATATTGAAATTTTAACTTGATACTTGCATAAAAATATGAATAATGAATATGCATAAGTCCTACTTTAATTTTATTTCAAATTTTATTCCTCAAAAAATATTTTTTTAACGATTTCATCTCAAATTTACATAAAAAACTTATAAATTTATTTAAATAGTACTTTATGCTAAAATATAGATGATATTTTTCAAGAATAAAATTATATTTCCATTGCAGTTTTTACTTTTTGAATTTTCAGACTTCATTGTTATGATCTAACAAAGCAAATGTATTAAATCAGATGCAATCGTTCAAAATTAATACTTAACGTGTTATGATTAGTTTTTTAACAAATTGTTGCATTAAGTTTAAAACATTTTTGAGATACGTTAGTTAAGGCGCAGAGCATTTTAATGCTTTTCAATGCTCAAATCTTGAATGCAAGGATTAGGTAAATTATTGGTGTTTATTACAAAATGTTTAGATAACTTGGAATAATAGCTTTCAGTTAAATATTCAAACTTTTTTGAAATCAAATTTTACATGAAATAATGAAAAAAGATGAATAATTATCAAATGACAGAAAATCAGTCTTATTTATGATTGCAATTAGACTAAGAAATTGATAAGCGGAAAATTAGCAGGTACCAACCTGTTGGAGTGGTAATTGAGAAGTATAATAGTTTAATGAGTCACCATTCGTAGAATTCGTTTTAGAAGTTGTCATAATTTCTGGTAGTAATGATGGTGATGATGACGAGTGTGGTTGTAACACAGGAACAGAAGTAAGTGAGTTAGAATGGGCGATTATCGAACGAGAGTTATAAATTTGTCGATCAGTTATTGGAAAAGTGTGACTATTTTTGATAGCAAAGTTAGAATGTGGCTTAGCTTGGGAAGAATTAAACCAGAAAAATACTCGTTGCGAAGGATTCTTTTGACATGAAAAAAATTTCCGGCATAATAATAATGATGAGGATGATGATGATGATGATGGTGATGGTGATGGTGATGGTAATGGTAATGATGATGGTAATGGTAATGATGGTGGTAATGGTAATGGTGATGGTGATGGTGATGATGGTAGTTGTGAATTTTCTAGTGCTACAGAACGTAATGATCGAGATGAAGAAAATGAATCGTTATTGTGTTTAGAATGATTTTTATTAACAGAATCAGATTGATATTTTGATGATGTATGCAATACTTTTGATGAATTTAATGTAGATGTATTGATAACATGAGGAGAGATATCAAATCTTACGTGTTTTTGTTTGTTAGTAGAAACTGTTTGCTCCATTATTTTCTTCATATAAAATTATTTCACACATATATATTCATTAGCAACATATCTAAAAATTATACTTAAAAGAGTAATTAAATAATGAAAGAAGCAATCATATATGAATATCGAAAAGAAAACGATAATGAATAAATATTAAAAAATGTATCAAAAATAAAAATATTATTTTAGGGGTATAAAATAAACGGAAATATGAAACACTGACTTTGTATGCATCAATTGTGCTAATTGTTTGTTTACTTTCATAGTGAATGCAATGAAAAATTAATCATAATAACATGCAATATCAGACATATCAATTGAGCTAAATTAATTATTCAAGAATAATAAAGACAGTCATAATTAAATAATCATGAACAGCATTATCTAAAACAAAAGACTATTTTTTCACATGAGAACAAATACATATTAGCATGAAAGAATTAAAATGATATTAGCAGTGGTGATTACTGCAATCAAACTAAAAATTCTTCATTTCCTGCTTGTAGTGTTACTTGACATGGAGGCTATTTATCTTGCACAAAAAGTTTAATATTGGGAAGCGTAAAGAATAGAAAAGTATTACATGCCTTGGCAAAATCGATGTAAAGATAAAGCTTAGAATTTAGATACATCTATCTATCTATCTATCTATCTATCTATCTATCTATCTATCTATCTGTCTGTCCGTGTGTTTCTGATAGTTTTACTTGCTATGGGCTAAGAAGAAAGCAAAAGCTTCAATGCTTCCACTCTTTATGTAAATGCTGCTTTTTTATACTCCAATAACAACATTGTTAATGAAGTACAACTAGACAAGTCGAAGTTTCTATTTACATGTCGAATGTATGCACTGATAATCATTTATTTATATATGATTATAAATAAGTAAATTCTATGGAGCCATAAATTCAGCCATAATAACATGTGATGCACCACAGCAACTACGATTACTTTAAATGCAAAAATAAAATAAAATAATAGCCTATAATAGCCTCAAAAAGTTTCTTACCAATATAAAACTTCAAGTTGCTAGAAATTCATTAGTATTGTAATGAATAACTGAAATAAAATATACAATGCATAGATAGAACTTAAATGAGATGAAAAATTAGTTCAAATTATTGTTTCTATATGCTTGCAAGTCAATTTGTTATACATGGTAGACAAAGTTGAAGTTTAATTCAAGCTTCATTTTATATTTATCGCTGAAGCTTACAAGTTTTGATAATCTCAGCAAGAATTTTAAAATGATTAGTTGATCACAAGAAAGAAATAAAAAAGCTAATTAAGACTTTATTTCCGAAAAACATTAGCATTTTGGAAATATATTTCATAGAAACTAACCATAATAGTAGTTGATAGAAATGATCAACTACTATTATGGTTAGTTTCTAATACTGATGAAACACATAAAATAGCTCCAAATGAATGATAAAACATCTTCAAGTAATCCCAGGATTGAGGGATAGCAAGCTATCACATGTTCATTTTAGAATATTT